ATGCTGTTATGTAAATGTGAAAAAAAAAGAAGAAGTGCAGATGGGGAAAATGATTTCAAACTAAGCCAGTCTGTGGTAGGGCAGTCAGAAAAAAACAACAACCCAAAGTAATTCTAATCTGATTATTATTATTATTTAATACCTATCCAAGTTTATTTGCATACGTGTAGAAAGGTGAAAGAAGCAAATAGAACTGATTCAAACACACACACTCACCTGGTTATAATTAAATATGATACTTTATTGAAACTAACTAAACAGCTAATCTAAAAGTCTAACTAAATACTAACTAAACCAATCTCAGTAAACCAAGTCTATGTAAGGTAGGCAAATATTTCAAACTTTATTGAAACTAGCAAAACAGTTAATCTAATAGTCCAACTAAACTAAGCTAAGCTAAACTAAACTAAACTAAACTAAACTAACCTAAACTAAACTAAATTATGCAAACATGCCGTAAGCAAATATACACAATACCAAAGTATACAAACTGGGTGATCACCGAAAAAATGTTTTCACAAGTTGTGAAATGCTACATAACAAGGTTTACTGGCCAGATAAATATCTTTAATTACAAAAATAGAGAAAGGTTGAATGTAATTACAATTACGAAAACCTTACATAAATGCAGATAATTGAAATATATGTACAATAATGAAAAACTTAAGCCGGCAAAGACAAATAGATACTATGAAGTAAAATATATTACATGATTGATGGCAAAGGGAAGTAATTTACAAATTACCAGATATGAGAAATATGCTACGTGTACGAGAATAACGTAAAGTTACATTTACTACATAGGAAACAAAATACACAAAGTTGTATACACAAATGTCAATACACAGAAGTCAGTCACAGATACCGTGAAAGTGAAGGGAATCACATGGCTTGGCAGATCACATGGCTTGGCAGATCTCAGTACATGTGCCTGTACACAGAATGGAAGGGGAGCTGTCTATCCCACGAAGAGGCTGGCTGACATTTCTTAGGCAAATATCCTCACTGGGGGCTCCATTTTGTAACCGGGGTTTGTGATGGCAAATACAAGGTCCAACACAGGCTACGGGTGTGAGTCTTTATTGCCTTATTAGTAGATAACAATGACACCCTGTAATGTACAAACAATAAGATTATAAAAACAGTAGTACACAGGTTTCATACACACATATATTAATACAATACAAAGCAACCTTTCATTTAATATAAACATAGTCTATATTCATTACATCAACATGAACTTAATAATCAATGATATATAAAATCATTACCTTACCCTGAAGTAAACAAACGATTGATCAAGGGCGATAACTCGATCCCGACATTACTGATAAGATTACAATATATATATGGTCCACGGTTCCAACATACAATGAACATTACAAATTCAATTACCACTTTGTTGAAACTACTATATTAATTCATTACCTGATCATACATTTGGTATGATACACTATTTACAAAATATACTTCATGACACAACAAACATGTAAATTATGCGTACCCTGTGGGTGACACTGGGGTGTTTGTCCTCTCTAGGCAGCCGCCTTGTGTGGTAGCTTTGTAGCTGTCAGCACGCTCCTAATTACAGAATCAACTATGAATAAATGTAACATACAGAATACAATTTAGGAAATATAACTAACTACTAACTACCATACAATGATTGACATTGCATACAAATTCAGTATTTACACAATGATAAAAATCAACGCATTCACTCAAACATTCACACACAGGAAGAAGAAGGATAACAAGCATTTATAGTGTTTACTTAGCCTTATTTAATTATTAACTTAGTAATATGGTGACACAATCACCATACCAAAGATAAGCATGTTAATAATACTGAAATTACATTCCACATAACTTAGATAACATAAGTTATATTATTATACAAATACATAGATATTAGCTAGCAATTTTATAGATTACTAACCTTAATAATCGAATTATTTATCCCAGATCTGTCCGAGTCCAAATTGTTGACTGACTTCTGAATTGATGTATTGTCAAGTGCAAGATGGATGAAAAGTGCACAGTTTGAACAAGCCAATGAAAACAAGGCTTGGGTTAGAACAAAGAGAAGAAACAATGACACAAACATAGACTAACCCAACCACCCTTTACATTATAAGTAAACTAATCCAGAAGCCCATAATAGATATTGAACTAAGAACCTACTTTCCTAACAACTTAAAATAATATTACAAACCTAAAGGACCTCAAATAGATAAAACATATATACAACAAAACTGTATGTTAATACTTGTGTCTGCCACACAGTGACTATAAACCAGTTATTAGATCCTATATCAAAGACCTAATGCAGACGAAGTGGGAAACTCAAGTGGGTATAAATAAATTACATACAATAAAAGCAAATATCGGTTATACCTACTTAGGTTGTCAGTCCAGATTTGAAGAGGTCATCATGCGTCGATGTCGTATTGGCCATTCACGTTATACACATGAGTATTTATTGAAAGGTGAGGATCCTCCATTCTGTGTCCCTTGTGATGAAAGAATCACAGTTAAGCATGTCCTGCTTGACTGTATCGATTTTTCCATCACAAGGGATATTTATTTTCAGGTTTCATCAATCAAGGATCTTTGTAATCAGGTAAGTACTCATTTAGTTCTTGTTTTTTTCAAAAGTAATTGAACTGATTGATAAATTTTGATTTGTGTAAATAGCTATATTTTATATTGGTAATGTATACTTTGTAACTTAGATTGTTAGTGGCTATATTCTCAAAGGGGGGTGAAGTAGCGTAAAATTATTGTCCCCCTGAGAGGAATGTAAGACCACATCATTCAAAGTACATTTATTCTTACCACAGTTTTAAACGTAGTCTTTTTGTTTATTTTAATTGTTGGCTAAATTGCGTATTGTATCGTAAGTCCCCACGGTCCCCAGCAAGGTGGCCTGTCTTAGGTTGATGGTGATCTGTAGCCCATTTGTATATTGTATTGTTGATTGAAAATGTTTTCTTTTTAATGTTCTCAACTAGTTTTAAAATCGAAACTGTGATACTCTAGTTATTTTTACTGTCCTTCGATGACAGATATATATTCCATTCAAATATATGAATTTTATGTCAGTTCTCGTGACGATATGGCTGAAATACTGCCAATGTGACGTTAAATATTTAATCACTCACTCACTCACTCAGACACGTATAACGGCCATGTATATTAGACACGTATATCGGCCATGTATATCAGACAGTTATATCGGCCATGTATATCAGACACGTATATCGGCCATGTATATCAGACAGTTATATCGGCCATGTATATCAGACACGTATATCGGCCATGTATATCAGACACGTATATCGGCCATGTATATCAGACACGTATATCGGCCATGTATATCAGACACGTATAACGGCCATGTATATCAGACACGTATATCGGCCATGTATATCAGACAGTTATATCGGCCATGTATATCAGACACGTATATCGGCCATGTATATCAGACACGTATATCGGCCATGTACATCAGACACGTATATCGGCCATGTATATCAGACACGTATATCGGCCATGTACATCAGACACGTATATCGGCCATGTACATCAGACACGTATACTGGCCATGTATATCAGACACGTATATCGGCCATGTTTATCAGACACGTACATCAGACACGTATATCGGCCATGTACATCAGACACGTATATCGGCCATGTACATCAGACACGTATATCGGCCATGTTTATCAGACACGTATATCGGCCATGTATATCAGACACGTACATCAGACACGTATATCGGCCATGTATATCAGACACGTATATCGGCCATGTATATCAGACACGTACATCAGACACGTATATCGGCCATGTTTATCAGACACGTATATCGGCCATGTATATCAGACACGTACATCAGACACGTATATCGGCCATGTACATCAGACACGTATATCGGCCATGTATATCAGACACGTACATCAGACACGTATATCGGCCATGTATATCAGACACGTATATCGGCCATGTATATCAGACACGTACATCAGACACGTATATCGGCCATGTTTATCAGACACGTATATCGGCCATGTATATCAGACACGTACATCAGACACGTATATCGGCCATGTATATCAGACACGTATATCGGCCATGTATATCAGACACGTACATCAGACACGTATATCGGCCATGTTTATCAGACACGTATATCGGCCATGTATATCAGACACGTACATCAGACACGTATATCGGCCATGTATATCAGACACGTATATCGGCCATGTATATCAGACACGTATAACGGCCATGTGTATCAGAAAGTTTGTTGTTGGGTAGATTTCTGTGTACAGGGACCATGGGCGAGTGACCGAGCAATCAATCAGCCACGGATATCAGCTACGTATATCATCCAAGTATATCATACACGTATATCATACACGTATATCATACACTTATTAGGTATTCAATACACACAAATGGAAAGTAGTTACTTGTGCCACATTTGTGCTGGCATTCAAACCGTTGACAACAAACCAAGTGTGCAACTCTGACTTCAAAGGTAATTTCAACATCATTTTAAGTTCAAACCTATAACCAAGTTTGTGAGAGATTCTAATCTGCCTTTGTTGGTGGGAACCTAACGGACATGTTCTCCTGGCACGTGACCCTCCTCTGTCAGCTTGCAACTGTTTCCTGTGATAACGGGGAAGTCTGGAGCAGGAGGGGGAGGGGGACTGGGGCAGGAGGAGGAGACTAGGGCAGGAGGGGTGAGTCTGGGGCAGGAGGGGGGACTTGATCAGGAGGGGTGAGTCTGGGGCAGGAGGGGGGACTTGATCAGGAGGGGTGAGTCTGGGGCAGGAGGGGGGAGACTGGGACAGGAGGGGTGAGTCTGGGACAGGAGGGGGGAGTCTGGGGCAGGAGGGGAGACTTGATCAGGAGGGGTGAGTCTGGGGCAGGAGGGGGGAGAATGAGGCAAGAGGGGTGAGTCTGGGGCAGGAGGGGGGACTTGATCAGGAGGGGTGAGTCTGGGGCAGGAGGGGGGAGACTGGGGCAGGAGGGGTGAGTCTGGGACAGGAGGGGGGAGTCTGGGGCAGGAGGGGAGACTTGATCAGGAGGGGTGAGTCTGGGGCAGGAGGGGGGAGAATGAGGCAAGAGGGGTGAGTCTGGGGCAGGAGGGGGGACTTGATCAGGAGGGGTGAGTCTGGGGCAGGAGGGGGGAGACTGGGGCAGGAGGGGTGAGTCTGGGGCAGGAGGTGGGAGTCTGGGGCAGGAGGGGGGAGACTGGGACAGGAGGGGTGAGTCTGGGGCAGGAGGGGAGACTTGATCAGGAGGGGTGAGTCTGGGGCAGGAGGGGGGAGAATGAGGCAAGAGGGGTGAGTCTGGGGCAGGAGGGGGGACTTGATCAGGAGGGGTGAGTCTGGGGCAGGAGGGGGGAGTCTAGGACAGGAGGGGTGAGTCTGGGGCAGGAGGGGTGAGTCTGGGGCAGGAGGGGGGACTTGATCAGGAGGGGTGAGTCTGGGACAGGAGGGGTGAGTCTGGGACAGGAGGGGGGAGTCTGGGGCAGGAGGGGAGACTTGATCAGGAGGGGTGAGTCCGGGGCAGGAGGGGGGAGAATGAGGCAAGAGGGGTGAGTCTGGGGCAGGAGGGGGGACTTGATCAGGAGGGGTGAGTCTGGGGCAGGAGGGGGGAGACTGGGGCAGGAGGGGTGAGTCTGGGGCAGGAGGGGGGACTTGATCAGGAGGGGTGAGTCTGGGGCAGGAGGGGGGACTTGATCAGGAGGGGTGAGTCTGGGGCAGGAGGGGGGATTGGATCAGGAGGGGTGAGTCTAGGGCAGGAGGGGGGAGACTGGGGCAGGAGGGGGGAGACTGGGGCAGGAGGGGAAGACTTGGGCAGGGGGGGAGACTGGGGCAGGAGGGGAGACTGGAGCAGGAGGGGGAGACTGGGGCAGGAGGGGAGACTGGGGCAGGGGGGGGGAGACTGGAGCAGGAGGGGGAGACTGGGGCAGGAGGGGGACACTGGGACAGGAGGGTGAGACTTGGTGCAGGAGGGGTGAGTCTGGGGCAGGGGGGTGAGTCTGGGGCAGGAGGGTGAGTCTGGGGCAGGAGGGGAAGACTGGGGCAGGAGGGGAAGACTGGGGCAGGAGGGGAAGACTGGGGCAGGAGGGGTGGGTCAGGTGCAGGAGGGTTGAGTCTGGGGCAGGGGGTGAGTCTGGGGCAGGAGGGGTGAGTCTGGGGCAGGAGGGGAAGACTGGGGCAGGAGCGGTGAGTCTGGGGCAGAAATGGAAGACTGGGACAGGAGGGGAAGACTCGGGCAGGAGGGGGAGACTGGGGCAGGAGGGGTGGGTCTGGGGCAGGAGGGGTGAGTCTGGAGCAGGGGGGGAGACTCGGGCAGGAGGGGGAGACTTGGGCAGGATGGGGGAAACTGGGGCAGGAGGGGAGTCTGGAGCAGGGGGGGAGACTGGGGCAGGAGGGGGGAGTCTGAAGCAGAAGGTGGAAGTCGAGTGCGTTTCGCTGTTGGCAGTAGTACAAATTGAAGGAAAAGATACTACGCCTCAGTACAAGTGTTCATAATATCTGGTGCAGAATCAAATTAAGGTCAAGCAGCGACATTACTGACATTCCCACCTATCTCCAGTAGTGCAGAGGCTCAGTCCACGCTCGGCGACTCAAGCCTTATCAGAATCCAATACTTAAAGTAAGAATGATTGTAGCATGAGGAAGTATAGACTGACATATACCTTATAAACTGTGTGTCAAGTTGCCTGATAGTTGTGAAGTACCACGTTTTCAGTTATATGTGTCATGTGTTGTGTGTCAAGCTGTGGTGTATTTGTTTTTTTCATAGTGAGTGAATATGGTTTTAGCAATATTACGGCAATATCACGTCTGGGGACACCAGAAATGGGCTTCACACATTGTATCCATGTCGGGCATCGAACCCGGGTCTTCAGCGTGACGAGCGACCGCTTTAACCATTAGGCTACCCGACCGCCCCTGTTTTTATAGTGTGTAACATTGACCTATATTTGTAAGTCGGTGTGTGTCATATTGACGTATATTTGTGATATGTTGTGTGTCAAGCACTCGTCTATTGGTCCTTTTTGTTGTGTAATATTGACGTATATTTGTGATATGTTGTGTATCAAGCTCTCGTATAATAGTTCTTTTTGATGTGTAATATTGACGTATATTTGTCATATGTTGTGTGTCAAACACTCGTCTATTTGTTTGGTGTGTATTATTGACGTATATTTGTCATATGTTGTGTGTCAAGCTCTCGTATATTAGTTCTTTTTGGTGTGTAATATTGACGTATATTTGTGATATGTTGTGTGTCAAGCACTCGTCTATTGGTCCTTTTTGTTGTGTAATATTGACGTATATTTGTGATATGTTGTGTATCAAGCTCTCGTATAATAGTTCTTTTTGATGTGTTATATTGACGTATATTTGTGATATGTTGTGTATCAAGCTCTCGTATAATAGTTCTTTTTGATGTGTAATATTGACGTATATTTGTGATATGTTGTGTATCAAGCTCTCGTATAATAGTTCTTTTTGATGTGTAATATTGACGTATATTTGTGATATGTTGTGTATCAAGCTCTCGTATAATAGTTCTTTTTGATGTGTAATATTGACGTATATTTGTCATATGTTGTGTGTCAAACACTCGTCTATTTGTTTGGTGTGTAATATTGACGTATATTTGTGATATGTTTTGTGTCAAGCTCTCGTATATTAGTTCTTTTTGGTGTGTAATATTGACGTATATTTGTGATATGTTGTGTGTCAAGCTCTCGTCTATTGGTCCTTTTTGTTGTGTAATATTGACGTATATTTGTGATATGTTGTGTATCAAGCTCTCGTATAATAGTTCTTTTTGGTGTGTAATATTGACGTATATTTGTGATATGTTGTGTGTCAAGCACTCGTCTATTGGTTCTTTTTGGTGTGTAATATTGACGTATATTTGTAATGTGTTGTGCATAAAGCACCGTATATTGTTTTTTTGTAGTTTGTAATATCGACGTATATTTGTAATGTGTTGTTTATTAAGCTGTCGTATATTGGTTTTTTAAAGTGTTTAGTATTGACAGATATTTGTTATGTGTTGTGTGTCAAGTTGTAAGGTTTTTGTAATTTGTGGTGTGTAATATTGACGTATAATTTCAATGTGTTTTGATCATTTTGTCGTATATTGGTTTTTGAAGTGTGTATTAATATCCTATATTTGTTATATGTTGTGTGTCAAGCAGTAGTGTATCCGTTTGATACCGTTGGGCAACTTGTATATCTGGCATATACTGTGAGTCAAAGCGTCGTATGTCTGGGTGATTGATTTCCTTGTAAACCGACCACAATAATAATTTCACGTGCACGGATCCCGCTCGTGTCTTGGTCACGTGTCAACGAGGGATCCACAAGGTTGCGTTATGTCCCCTATAGTATTGACTTCAAACACAGACAATTGTACATACAACTCCGATCCGATCCTTTACGGAATGGGATGAATCGAATTTCTGGTTTCCAAATGTTAAAAGTTCTAAGGCAATGATTGTCGACTTCCGAGGAAAAGAGTCCAAATCAAACCCACGCATAATAATGAGGAACTTAAAAATATTAACGAGTACAAATAACCAAGCACCATTATTTGCTCTAAACGTTCGTTGAATGCGAATACAGAATTTATTTAAAAAAAACGGCCCTCAAAGACTTCATTTATTCGCTGCTTGAGATTTTGTAATATTGATCCAACTTTCATGTCCTTGTTTTATAAAACCATTCAGTTTCCACCGCTAATATGGGTCTTCTGTGTGTTCTATTCGAACATAAAATACACACAAATGTAACTAATGCCAACAAAACATCAGCATGTGTTACGAACAGCAACTTGTTAAAAGGGCTAACAATATTTTAATTGACAGTTTGCAAATCTTGTTTTCGGAGCATAAGCTTTTACCTTATAGGGCACTCGTAGATCCAAAGACGGTGGTGTTATAGTGTATACACAGCTAACAGAGTACTCTGAAGTGACTTGCTGCACGTGGTGCTTTAGTGTATACATAGCTAACAGAGTAGTCTGAAGTCACTTGCTGCACGTGGTGTTATAGTGTATACACAGCTAACACAGTAGTGAGAAGTGACTTGCTGCACGTGGTGTTATAGTGTATACATAGCTAACACAGCAGTGAGAAGTGTCTTGCTGCACGTGGTGTTATAGTGTATACCCAGCTAACACAGCAGTGAGAAGTGTCTTGCTGCACGTAGTGTTATAGTGTATACACAGCTAACACAGCAGTGAGAAGTGTCTTGCTGTACGTGGTGTTATAGTGTATACACAGCTAACACAGCAGTGAGAAGTGTCTTGCTGTACGTGGTGTTATAGTGTATACACAGCTAACACAGTAGTGAGAAGTGCCTTTCTGCACGTGGTGTTATAGTGTATACACACCTAACACAGTAGTGAGAAGTGCCTTGCTGCACGTGGTGTTATAGTGTATACACAGGTAACATAGTAGTGAGAAGCGTATTGCTGCACGTGGTGTTATAGTGTATACACAGCTAACATAGTAGTGAGAAGCGTATTGTTGCACGTGGTGTTATAGTGTATACACAGCTAACACAGTAGTGAAAAGCGTATTGCTGCACGTGGAGTTATAGTGTATACACAGCTAACACAGTAGTGAGAAGTGCTTTGCTGCACGTGGTGCTATAGTGTATACACAGCTAACACAGTAGTGAGAAGTGACTTGCTGCACGTGGTGTTATAGTGTATACACAGCTAACATAGTAGTGAGAAGCGTATTGCTGCACGTGGTGTTATAGTGTGTACACAGCTAAGATAGTTGTGAGTTTCGGGGGATGTACTCAGGTCCCACGCCGGTCGTCGTCATCCTGAGAAAGGTCGGAGGTTAAGATGGTGACGTAAAGACATTCTGCATATACGTAATGACATATCTGGTGATATCAACATTTCGCTGTCCATTTGTCAGTAATGCATTGGTGTAGATTCTCTATCATGATGTCAGGACTAAATGTTTGACAGACAGACAATCCTTGTGCCCTTGTATGATCCGTGTACCCTCTCACGACAAGCAGATTAACGTCCGCCATGAAAATCCAAGAAGAATGTCGGAAGTTCAATTAATCGTTGTGAGACGATCCTGTCGGTGGCTAATGACACGTGACCCGCAGATGTATCAGTAGTTATTGGTGTCTTGCGTCTGTTGAGACTGGCCTCTACACTCTCCACCATGAACTACAGCGCGCTGATGTTAACGTTGGTTCTCATGTCTGCGCTGGAAGCATCTTCGTCAGAGTTTGTTTTTGAGCTTGAGCAAGTGGCTAGTCACGTGAAACCGTGCCGCATCCATCATCGAGCTAATGCGTCCGGCAACCGAGTGGTGTGGATGTTTGCAGGGGAATACCTCAATATCAACTTTTGTATAGATCAGCCACGAAATGTTTCTATCCGTGATTTCATGCATTCGAACGATGGTGGAAGTGACGTCATTTCGGTACTGCTTGATGGAATATCAGTCGGAGAGATTACAACCCTTGAAAGATCCAACAGCGGCGCATATTGGGATGAATTTCTTGGGTCAGGTCAAGTCGGAGAAAGGAGCCAACTTGACCCTGGACAGCACACTGTGACCTTGATCGTTGCCCGTGCTGACATGTATGGTGTGGAGGTTGACTCGGTGGTTGTGGACATGGCTGCCGTCAACCTGACAAAAGACGACATCCGGTGCACGGCATCGCCCTTGATGAGGGGAGACAACTCCGGCATAGGTGGCAGCTGTAAACCCTGGGAGGTGAAGGCAGACAAAACAACAGCAAGGAAAGGTTTGAGATTAATACTTCCCCACAAAAGGCGGAAACACAAACAAACACTGTGCATCATACAAACGTTACATCAAGTATTAATAGAGACACAAGACAAGCAGAGTGCATCATAACAAACGTTACTTCATATATATTAAGACACAAGACAAGCACAGTGCACCACACAAACGTTACTTCATGTATCTATAGACACAAGACAAGCAGAGTGCACCACACAAACGTTACATCATATATATATATATATATATATAGAGAGAGAGAGAGAGAGAGACACACGACAAGCACAGTGCATCACACAAACGTTACATCATATATATATATATATATATAGACACAAGACAAGCACAGTGCATCACACAAACGTTACATCATATATATATATATATATAGACACAAGACAAGCACAGTGCATCACACAAACGTTACATCATATATATATATATATATAGACACAAGACAAGCACAGTGCATCACACAAACGTTACATCATATATATATATATATATATATATATATATACACAAGACAAGCAGAGTGCATTACACAAACGTTGCATCATATATATATATATATATAGAGAGAGAGAGAGAGACACACAAGACAAGCAGAGTGCATCATACAAACGTTACATCAAGTATTAATAGAGACACAAGACAAGCAGAGTGCATCACACAAACGTTACCTCATATATATATAAACACAAGACAAGCACAGTGCACCACACAAACGTTACTCCATATATATATAGACACAAGACAAGCACAGTGCATCACACAAACGTTACTCCATATATATATAGACACAAGACAAGCACAGTGCACCACACAAACGTTACTTCATATATATATAGACACAAGACAAGCACAGTGCACCACACAAACGTTACTCCATATATATATAGACACAAGACAAGCACAGTGCACCACACAAACGTTACTCCATATATATATAGACACAAGACAAGCACAGTGCATCACACAAACGTTACTCCATATATATATAGACACACGACAAGCACAGTGCACTACACAAACGTTACTTCATATATATATATATATAGACACAAGACAAGCACAGTGCATCACACAAACGTTACATCATGTATTAATAGACTCAAGACAAGCCCCGTGTATCATAAAAAACCCGTTACATCATGTTTTTACTAGCCCAGGTTAAGCTCTGAAAATTACCCAAAACGTTACATCATACAAATGCAGACACCAGACAAGCACATCGCCGCAAAACGTTACATGATGTTTTCACTGATTCAAGTTAAAGCTCAATCTGCGGTAGGAACTACTGCACTCTAGTGGGCGGAGCTTATACGAGTCATCTGACGGGTCAATATGACGTCATGATAACACATGAATGTCATTGGTTAATGGGACGTTGGCCGTTTGACAACAAGGACGTAAGTTTCAATGGTTATAAATATCCATCAAACGTTTGTCGTGATGAATAAGAGCAGTGTAATTGAACAAAAAAACATACAATATGTCACCGCACCAATCGTAATCCAGTGGTGTACGGTATATCTGCAGTTTATGAATAGCATTTCTAAAAATATATACGGCAATCGGTGATGTCAACAGTGTTTTTTTCCGTTGTGTTCGTCTTGCTTTCATCTGGATTCTGGATGTAAAAAAACCTGGTGATGGTCTGGAATATTGTCAAGTGATGACAATAGTTTTTGTCGTTTCCGTCACACGTTTCCATTGCCCAGCAGCAAAGTCTTACTTGTCCGAGGCGCCTCAGGCCGAAGTCTCGAGATCCGTGAAACTTTGGCGGGTCCCATACAGTGACCCAGAGTCCCCGTTGATTGGCATACCAAGTGTCATTTGCATAAGGCCATCCATATTTCTTGTATGTGTTTCTCCCCAAAAGCCTCAACTAACAAGAGTGCGGGCGGACGAAATAAAATATATTAATTATAAAAAATGTCTATCAATAATTGTGTAAGTTACTTTATGACATTTTAAAAAGATTTACACACTTGGTACTAGAATCTAAACTGACGGCCAAAAGAAACGTTACCAACGATATTTCTAGGATAAAATATGACCAACACAATTTGAAGCAGTAATAACAATTGTATTGTAGAAATTCATCATTCACAACAGTAAAATTCGAATTTGCTAATTCAACAACAAAGTCCTTGACCTCCATCAGAGACATTTCTTGACATTGGGTCATTCGTCCAGTATTCGATCAACAACATTGGTTACAACTTTAAGGTGACGACGGCACACACCGTTCAATACGGGACATGACCTCCATGAGCGGCAATGCATCTTCGAATGCGGCGTCGAACTGAGTAGACAAGCGTCCTCACATCGACTGCAGGTATCCGATTCCATTCCTCACGGAGGGCAACGATCAACGCTTGTCTCGTGAAGGGAGGATGTTGACGTTTCCGAAGACGACGCCCCAGCTGGTCCCAGAGATGTTCTATGGGTGACAGATCTGGTGATCGAGCTGGCAACGGCAGGACAGTCACGTCGTTGGCGTTGATGTAGTCTCTAGTAATACGGGCTTTATGGGGTGTGGCGTTATCTTGTTGGAACACCGTCCGTTGTTGACGCTGGATGAAAGGAAGAACCACTGGCCGTAAGATATTGTCAGTGTAGCGTTGTGCTGTCAGATTGCCATTGATGAAGACAAGTTCCGTCTTCTCGTCCCCGCAAATGCCGCCCCAGACCATCACACTTCCGCCCCCGTAAGGTTCCACCTTCTGGACACTACAAGGAGCCGTACGTTCACCACGTCGTCACTAAACAGCACTCGCCGCCATTCCCTTTGTTGCCATCGCTGAATTTGCCTGCACCACGTCAATCTGGCACGTCGATGTTGACGGGTCAAGGTCATGCCCTTCAAAGGGCGATAAGTCCGGAGACCATAATGTCGTAGTCGTCTGGTCACTGTTTGTCTTCTGACTGGATGTCCTAAGCTGTTGGCAGCTGATGACGTCACTGTAAGAAGTCTGTTCCTCAGATGAAATACCTGTAAAAAGCGGTCATCCTGCGGGGTCGTGACCGCAAAGCACGTGCAAAGAACGACAGAGAACATGAAGGCTGTATTCGTGAGATGTGTTCTTTACTGTTTTTTAACAGGTTGGCATCTTTGTTTCAAAGTGGCAAATCAGTTAATGTTGGTAACGTTTCCTTTGGCCCTCAGTTTAGTCTATGAATTAATTTATAACGTAGATCGGGTCGCTTTGCTTCGGAAACGAATTTTTAATTAACAACTAAAGAAAGGTAAAGTTGCCCTGGTGACGTATAGTAGCAATGGTGTGTATAGTAGCAATGGTGTGTATAGTAGCAATGGTGTGTATAGTAGCAATGTTGACGTATAGTAGCAATGGCGACGTATAGTAGCAATGGTGACGTATAGTAGCAATGGTGTGTATAGTAGCAATGGTGTGAATAGTAGCAATGGTGTGTATAGTAGCAATGGTGACGTATAGTAGCAATGGTGTGAATTGTAGCAATGGTGTGTATAGTAGCAATGGTGTGTATAGTAGCAATGATGTGTATAGTAGCAATGGTGCCGTATAGTAGCAATGGTGCCGTATAGTAGCAATGGTGTGTATACTAGCAATGGTGTGTATAGTAGCAACGGTGTGTATAGTAGCAATGGTGTGTATACTAGCAATGGTGTGTATAGTAGCAATGGTGACGTATAGAAGCAATGGTGACGTATAGTAGCAATGGTGTGTATAGTAGCAATGGTGTGTATAGTAGCAATGGTGTGTATAGTAGCAATGGTGTGTATAGTAGCAATGGTGACGTATAGTAGCAAAGGTGACGTATAGTAGCAATGGTGTGTATAGTAGCAATGGTGTGTATAGCAGCAGTGGTGTGTATAGTAGCAATGGTGTGTATAGTAGCAATGGTGTGTGTAGTAGCAATGGTGTGTATAGTAGCAGTGCTGTGTATAGTAGCAATGGTGTGTATAGTAGCAATGGTGACGTATAGTAGCAATGGTGTGTATAGTAGCAATGGTGTGTATAGTAGCAATGGTGTGTATGGTAGCAATGGTGTGTATAGTAGCAATTGTGTGTATAGTAGCAATGGTGACGTATAGTAGCAATGGTGTGTATAGTAGCAATGGTGTGTATAGTAGCAATGGTGCCGTATAGTAGCAATGGTGTGTATAGTAGCAATGGTGTGTATAGTAGCAACGGTGTGTATAGTAGCAATGGTGTGTATACTAGCAATGGTGTGTATAGTAGCAATGGTGACGTATAGTAGCAATGGTGACGTATAGTAGCAATGGTGTGTATAGTAGCAATGGTGTGTATAGTAGCAATGGTGTGTATAGTAGCAATGGTGTGTATAGTAGCAATGGTGACGTATAGTAGCAAAGGTGACGTATAGTAGCAATGGTGTGTATAGTAGCAATGGTGTGTATAGTAGCAGTGGTGTGTATAGTAGCAATGGTGTGTATAGTAGCAATGGTGTGTGTAGTAGCAATGGTGTGTGTAGTAGCAGTGGTGTGTATAGTAGCAATGGTGTGTATAGTAGCAATGGTGACGTATAGTAGCAATGGTGTGTATAGTAGCAGTGGTGTATATAGTAGCAATGGTGTGTATAGTAGCAATGGTGTGTATAGTAGCAATTGTGTGTATAGTAGCAATGGTGACGTATAGTAGCAATGGTGTGTATAGTAGCAATGGTGTGTATAGTAGCAATGGTGACGTATAGTAGCAATGGTGACGTATAGTAGCAATGGTGACGTATAGTAGCAATGGTGTGTATAGTAGCAATGGTGTGTATAGTAGTAATGGTGTGTATAGTAGCAATGGTGACGTATAGTAGCAATGGTGTGAATTGTAGCAATGGTGTGTATAGTAGCAATGGTGTGTATAGTAGCAATGATGTGTATAGTAGCAATGGTGCCGTATAGTAGCAATGGTGCCGTATAGTAGCAATGGTGTGTATAGTAGCAATGGTGTGTATAGTAGCAACGGTGTGTATAGTAGCAATGGTGTGTATAGTAGCAATGGTGTGTATAGTAGTAATGGTGTGTATAGTAGCAATGGTGACGTATAGTAGCAATGGTGTGAATTGTAGCAATGGTGTGTATAGTAGCAATGGTGTGTATAGTAGCAATGATGTGTATAGTAGCAATGGTGCCGTATAGTAGCAATGGTGCCGTATAGTAGCAATGGTGTGTATAGTAGCAACGGTGTGTATAGTAGCAATGGTGTGTATACTAGCAATGGTGTGTATAGTAGCAATGGTGACGTATAGTAGCAATGGTGTGTATAGTAGCAATGGTGTGTATAGTAGCAATGGTGACGCATAGTAGCAATGGTGTGTATAGTAGCAATGGTGTGTATAGTAGCAGTGGTGTGTATGGTAGCAATGGTGTGTATAGTAGCAATGGTGTGTGTAGTAGCAATGGTGTGTGTTGTAGCAGTGGTGTGTATAGTAGCAATGGTGTGTATAGTAGCAATGGTGACGTATAGTAGCAATGGTGTGTATAGTAGCAGTGGTGTGTATAGTAGCAATGGTGTGTATGGTAGCAATGGTGTGTATAGTAGCAATGGTGTGTATAGTAGCAATGGTGACGTATAGTAGCAATGGTGTGTATAGTAGCAATGGTGTGTATAGTAGCAATGGTGACGTATAGTAGCAATGGTGTGTATAGTAGCAATGGTGTGTATAGTAGCAATGGTGTGTATAGTAGTAATGGTGTGTATAGTAGCAATTGTGACGTATAGTAGCAATGGTGTGAATTGTAGCAATGGTGTGTATAGTAGCAATGGTGTGTATAGTAGCAATGGTGTGTATAGTAGCAATGGTGTGTGTAGTAGCAATGGTGACGTATAGTAGCAATGGTGACGTATAGTAGCAATGGTGTGTGTAGTAGCAATGGTGTGTGTAGTAGCAATTGTGACCTATAGTAGCAATGGTGACGTATAGTAGCAATGGTGACGTATAGTAGCAATGGTGACGTATAGTAGCAATGGTGACGTATAGTAGCAATGGTGACGTATAGTAGCAATGGTGTGTATAGTAGCAGTGGTGTGTATAGTAGCAATGGTGTGTATGGTAGCAATGGTGTGTATAGTAGCAATGGTGTGTATAGTAGCAATGGTGACGTATAGTAGCAATGGTGTGTATAGTAGCAATGGTGTGTATAGTAGCAATGGTGACGTATAGTAGCAGTGGTGTGTATAGTAGCAATGGTGTGTATAGTAGTAATGGTGTGTATAGTAGCAATTGTGACCTATAGTAGCAATGGTGTGAATTGTAGCAATGGTGTGTATAGTAGCAATGGTGTGTATAGTAGCAATGGTGTGTATAGTAGCAATGGTGTGTGTAGTAGCAATGGTGACGTATAGTAGCAATGGTGACGTATAGTAGCAATGGTGTGTGTAGTAGCAATGGTGTGTATAGTAGCAATGGTGTGTATAGTAGCAATGGTGTGTGTAGTAGCAATGGTGACGTATAGTAGCAAAGGTGACGTATAGTAGCAATGGTGTGTATAGTAGCAATGGTGTGTATAGTAGCAGTGGTGTGTATAGTAGCAATGGTGTGTATAGTAGCAATGGTGTGTGTAGTAGCAATGGTGTGTGTAGCAGCAGTGGTGTGTATAGTAGCAATGGTGTGTATAGTAGCAATGGTGACGTATAGTAGCAATGGTGTGTATAGTAGCAGTGGTGTGTATAGTAGCAATGGTGTGTATGGTAGCAATGGTGTGTATAGTAGCAATGGTGTGTATAGTAGCAATGGTGTGTATAGTAGCAATGATGTGTATAGTAGCAATGGTGTGTATAGTAGCAATGGTGTGTATAGTAGCAGTGGTGTGTATAGTAGCAATGGTGTGTATAGTAGCAATGGTGTGTATAGTAGCAATGGTGTGTATAGTAGTATTTCTGTTATTAGATCGGGGCGCAATTTTTTCACAGCGGGAGAAAAAAATTGAGACACGAAATTAAAGTTTATATTATTTCACGTCGGAATGGAGATAAGACACGGACAGCCTCAAATACTTCGAAACGATGTTCAAATAAATAATTGTTCACATTAATTCATTCTGTCATGTGCTTGAACCTGGATTTCAACATTATTTTCATCAATATTATTCTGGTCGCTGGCCATGGCTACACATATCATCCTCACTTGTAAACAACTTCGACATGAACACGTTTGGTCTCGAAGCTCAAAGCAACAACGTTTCTCTCGAATGCATTTTTTCTCCATCCATGACGAGCATCTGCCATAATGTCAATGCCCCGACAATCTTCCTGGTCAGTTGATTTCAACAATGTAATACACACAGCCTCATTCACGTCGCCATCGCAAGATTATTTCCAAATACCCACCACGTGATCAGGGTTACGACCTTGGGATCAATCAATAAATTAATTTGCATGTTTAGAAAAGAGTGTTTTCGTGAATATTTTTTTTTTTTTAAAACATCCAGTACTTGGCACTTTTGGATTGCACTGCGGATTTCTTTTATTTATTTCTAAAACTTTTCGTTTTCCCCTCTTTCTGACCGCGCGATCTCCTAGCAACCACTCCCCATGAGCGCATCAAACTTTGCAAGTTCGCTTGTATTCCATATGAGCGACAAAACAATTTCACGTGACGCTTAATTTGATGGAGAGTTGTTAGAGATGATCAGGGAGCCTTTGGTCATTTCGATTATGACATTGGTGACTTTGTCGTGGAGAAAGTTCCAATTCAAGATGACATGATTTCGACCGCCAACTCGAATCGACAAGATGGCGCCTCGCTTCCCGCCCTTGCAAGTGAAACAGAAACTTTGACAAATTCTGTGCCGATTCTTGGGATTAGTGAATCAGTGTCACAGCGATATTTCATTGTGGATCCAGCTAAAGCCGAATATGTATGTTCACACTTCTTATGTCAACCATGCGTGACACGGCAAAGGCAATCGTAGTTCAGGAAGGGTGCGGCCACCATGTTGCAGAATCCGTCGATCGGACCAAACTTCTGGACTGAGCTGAGCTAAATAACGGAGTGTTTGGAGAGTTCGTAGATACTCGGACTTGAAGAATCGGATATTAAACGTTGCAGCAGATGAAGGATTGGTGTGGACCAAACGGGAAAGGGATCCCAGATTGTATTATTAAACTTGTGCGCGATGTGTATCCAAATCCCCCGAACAATAAATACATGAGACAAGTGTGGATCCAATGATCAAACTCAGTTTTGTGTGTGAAAATGCTGTGAAAGGAAGGGCAATCCATAATTAAAGTTGTGTTTGAATATGGGTATTGGATGTTTCGTTTATCGTAAGTACAATATTATCCAGATAGATCTAGGCCTAATGTAGGTCAAAACATCACGTGTATTTCGTTAGGTATATATTAGTTGCTCATGTGCATTGTTATGTTGATCCACGTGACATATTCACATATTGTAGTCAAGCTAAGAAATATTGGTTCAACTTCTTGTGCTTCAAATTAGGCCACTTCCTAAACACTTGTTGAAAAATCCGTGTAATAATTTAAGTTTTATCAATCTAATCTGATCACTGTATGGTATAGGTCTAACTGTGGAATCTAAATGACCTAAACTAAACAAATATCTGCATTATTCGGATTGAACTGAAAGAATCTTGTCGTCAAATTCGTATTTATGTATCGCATTAACCGAAACTTTTGTTCTGCTGCTGTTCTGAGGTACAAATATACAAAACAATTCACTTTGAGCACAAATGCATCGAATGTGTCACATGTACACATGACCACGTGCTTTATAAATATTATTTGCAGTTGTCAGGAATCATCTCAATAATTGTTACAGGTTATGACGGCGTTTCTCCCGATCTTGTGACTGCTGAAGGGACAACGAGGCTGTTTGCTGATGGAGACAAGGGTGAACTCACAACGAGGCCGTTTGCTGAAGGGGACAAGGGTGAACTCACAACGAGGCTGTTTGCTGAAGGGGACAAGGGTGAACTCACAACGAGGCTGTTTGCTGATGGAGACAAGGGTGAACTCACAACGAGGCCGTTTGCTGAAGGGGACAAGGGTGAACTCACAACGAGGCTGTTTGCTGATGGAGACAAGGGTGAACTCACAACGAGGCCGTTTGCTGAAGGGGACAAGGGTGAACTCACAACGAGGCCGTTTGCTGAAGGGGACATGGGTGAACTCACAACGAGGCTGTTTGCTGATGGAGATAAGGGTGAACTCACAACGAGGCCGTTTGCTGAAGGGGACATGGGTGAACTCACAACGAGGCCGTTTGCTGAAGGGGACATGGGTGAACTCACAACGAGGCTGTTTCCTGAAGGGGACAAGGGTGAACTCACAACGAGGCTGTTTGTTGATGGGGACATGGGTGAACTCACAACGAGGCTGTTTCCTGAAGGGGACAAGGGTGAACTCACAACGAGGCTGTTTCCTGAAGGGGACAAGGGTGAACTCACAACGAGGCTGTTTCCTGAAGGGTACAAGGGTGAACTCACAACGAGGCTGTTTGTTGATGGGGACATGGGTGAACTCACAACGAGGCTGTTTCCTGAAGGGGACAAGGGTGAACTCACAACGAGGCTGTTTCCTGAAGGGTACATGGGTGAACTCACAACGAGGCTGTTTCCTGAAGGGTACATGGGTGAACTCACAACGAGGCTCTTTGTTGATGGGGATAAGGATGAATTGACAACGAGGCTGTTTGGTGATGTAGACAAGAATAGATTGACAACGAGGCTGTTTGGTGATGTAGACAAGAATAGATTGACAACGAGGCTGTTTGGTGATGTAGACAAGAATAGATTGACAACGAGGCTGTTTGGTGATGGAGACGAGGGTGGACGCACAACGAGGCAGCTAACCAATAGTGACAGTGACACCTCCGTCGTTGCCTCTGCTCCTACTGCTACTGAAACATCTACGGCAACCTCACCACCGTCACCAGCTGCCTCATCGCCAAAGAGTAAAGAACCTTATAACTGCAGCGGCCGGACCCCATGCGCACACGTGTTACTCGTATTCAGTCACATGATCATGTTTCTTCAAACTTTAATTAATCAGATCATCACCTGAACAATTCACACCTTTAATTATCTCACCGCTGTATAGAAAGGTTAATTCAGGATGCCACCTTGAATAATAAAATTGCATTATGAACTAGACAACGCACTTTGAATTATCTTATCGCTCTGTAATCATTTCACAATGCAGCCTTGAAATACTAGTATCTCACGATTATGTAATCTGATTAAGTCATAGTGCAGGGGGCACGGGTGGCCCAGTCGTCTAAGGCGCCGCAATTCGCTGTGCAGAGTTGCGTCCCTTAGGCACGCCAGAAACCTATGATCGTGGGTTCGAATCCCGGTTCACCCCGATTATGTTTCTAGGTTTGTCAGCACCATAGCCGTGCTCGTGGGTTTCACCGAAGTGGTAAACGTCTGAGACCTGCATCACTTCGGGCTTTCTTCCCATATTAAGCTGACACGCCGCGATATAACTGGAATACTGTTAAAAGCGGCGTTAAACCCAACTCACTCACTCACTCACTCATAGTGCAACCTTGATTTACTTATAACCTGGACATTTCACACTGCAGCCTTGACATACAAGTATCTCACCATTATGTAATCTGATTAATTGACAATGCAACCTTGAACTATCTCACTGCTATGTATCCTGGATACAAGAAACAAGACAAGAAACTTGTAATCACATGACATTTGTTCCACTGTGTTGAATATTTGTTTTACATATGTCTGATCTGGTGTTCCTGGAACAGAAACAGTGTTACATATGTGTCTGATCTGTTGTTCCTGGAACAGAAACAGTGTTACAAATGTGTCTGATCTGGTGTTCCTGGAAAAGAAAAATTGTCACATATGTGTCTGATCTGTTGTTCCTGGAACAGAAACAGTGTTACATATGTGTCTGATCTGTTGTTCCTGGAAAAGAAACAGTGTTACATATGTGTCTGATCTGTTGTTCCTGGAACAGAAACAGTGTTACATATGTGTCTGATCTGTTGTTCCTGGAACAGAAACAGAGTTACATGTGTGTCTGATCTGTTGTTCCTAGAACAGAAACAGAGTTACATATGTGTCTGATCTGTTGTTCCTGGAACAGAAACAGTGTTACATATGTGTCTGATCTGTTCCTAGAACAGAAACAGTCTTACATATGTGTCTGATAGGTTGTTCCTGGAACAGAAACAGTGTTACATATGTGTCTGATCTGTACCTAGAACAGAAACAGAGTTGCATATGTGTGTGATCTGTTGTTCCTGGTACAGAAACAGAGTTACATATGTGTCTGATCTGTTGTTCCTGGAACAGAAACAGTGTTACATATGTGTCTGATCTGTACCTAGAACAGAAACAGAGTTACATATGTGTGTGATCTGTTGTTCCTGGAACAGAAACAGAGTTATATATGTGTCTGATCTGTTGTTCCTGGAACAGAAACAGAGTTACATATGTGTCTGATCTGTTGTTCCTAGAACAGAAACAGTGTTACATATGTGTCTGATCTGTTGTTCCTGGAACAGAAACAGAGTGACATATGTGTCTGATCTGGTGTTCCTAGAACAGAAACAGTTTTACATATGTGTCTGATCTGTTGTTCCTGGAAGAGAAACAGAGTTACATATGTGTCTGATCTGTTGTTCCTGGAACAGAAACAGTGTTACATATGTGTCTGATCTGTTGTTCCTGGAACAGAAACATATTTACATATGTGTCTGATCTGTTGTTCCTGGAACAGAAACAGTGTTACATATGTGTCTGATCTGTTGTTCCTGGAACAGAAAGAGTGTCACATATGTGTCTGATCTGTTGTTCCTGGAACAGAAACAGTGTTGCATATGTGTCTGATCTGTTGTTCCTAGAACAGAAACAGTTTTACACATGTGTCTGATCTGTTGTTCCTGGAACAGAAACAGAGTTACATATGTGTCTGATCTGTTGTTCCTGGAACAGAAACAGTGTTACATATGTGTCTGATCTGTTGTTCCTGGAACAGAAACAGTTTTACACATGTGTCTGAGACGGTGAATAGAGACGATGAATAGAGTCAGTGAATAGAGACGGTTAATAGAGGCGGCGAGTAGAGTCAGTGAATAGAGACGGTAATATGAGACTGTGAATAGAGACGGTGAATAGAGTCAGTGAATAGAGACGGTAAATAGAGGCGGCGAGTAGAGTCAGTGAATAGAGACGGTAATGTGAGACTGTGAATAGAGACGATGAATAGAGTCAGTGAATAGAGACGGTTAATAGAGGCGGCGAGTAGAGTCAGTGAATAGAGACGATAATATGAGACTGAATAGAGACGGCGAATAGAGTCATTGAATAGCGACGGTTAATAGAGACAGTGAATAGAGACGATGAATAGAGTCAGTGAATAGAGATGGTTAATAGAGACTGTGAATAGAGAAGGTGAATAGAGTCAGTGAATAGAGACGGTTAATAGAGGCGGCGAGTAGAGTCAGTGAATAGAAACGGAAATATGAGACTGTGAATAGAGAAGGTGAATAGAGACGGTAATATGAGACTGAATAGAGACGATGAATAGTCAGTGAATAGAGACAGTTAATAGAGGCGGCGAGTAGAGTCAGTTAATAGAGACGGTTAATAGAGGTGGCGAATAGAGTCAGTGAATAGAGACGGTTAATAGAGGCGGCGAGTAGAGTCAGTGAATAGAGACGGTAATATGAGACTGAATAGAGACGATGAATAGAGTCTGTGAATAGAGACGGCGAATAGAGTCAGTGAATAGAGACGGTTAATAGAGGCGGCGAGTAGAGTCAGTGAATAGAGACGGTAATATGAGACTGTGAATAGAGACAATGAATAGAGTCAGTGAATAGAGACGGTTAAAAGAGGCGGCGAGAAGAGTCAGTGAATAGAGACGGCGAATATTGTAATTGAATAGCGACGGTTAATAGAGACTGTGAATATAGACGATGAATAGAGTCAGTGAATAGAGATGGTTAATAGAGACTGTGAATAGAGACGATGAATAGAGTCAGTGAATAGAGATGGTTAATAGAGACTGTGAATAGAGACGGTAAATAGAGACGGTAATATGAGACTGTGAATAGAGACGGTGAATAGAGTCAGTGAATAGAGATGGTTAATAGAGGTGGCGAGTAGAGTCAGTGAATAGAGACGGTAATATGAGACTGTGAATAGAGACGATGGATAGAGTCAGTGAATAGAGACGGTTAATAGAGGCGGCGAGTAGAGTCAGTGAATAGAGACGGTAATATGAGACTGTGAATAGAGACGGTGAATAGAGTCAGTGAATAGAGACGGTAAATAGAGGCGGCGAGTAGAGTCAGTGAATAGAGATGGTAATATGAGACTGTGAATAGAGACGATGAATAGAGTCAGTGAATAGAGACGGTTAATAGAGGCGGCGAGTAGAGTCAGTGAATAGAGACGATAATATGAGACTGAATAGAGACGGCGAATAGAGTCATTGAATAGCGACGGTTAATAGAGACAGTGAATAGAGACGGTGAATAGACTCAGTGAATAGAGACGGTAATATGAGACAGTGAATTGAGGCGGTAAAATGAGACTGTGAATAGAGACCGTAAGTAGACAGCACTGTTTCAAACATCAAGTTTTGTGTCTTCACCTCGGCGCTTGGCCCTGTGTGTAAAGTGCAAGGGGCCGAGAAGATGGTTTATATAACACCACAGATCAATGAAGATAAATATGCATCTTTCAAAACACTATCGAGGTTAATGCAACAGGTTTAAAATGATAAAGTTCAGTGGAATGTATGGTGTAATTGGCACAGAGATGATCTGAGAGATCTTCCATATTGATGGTAATCACATGTAACGTGATGAAGCCTACTGTATACATGGCAGCACTGTCTACACCTTCAACACAATGACATCTAAACCAGGTCTTCCATATTGATGATAATCACATGTAACGTGAAGCCTACTGTATACATGGCACCAGTGTCTACACCTTCAACACAATGACATCTAAACCAGGTCTTCCATATTGATGGTAGTCACATGTAACGTGATGAAGCCTACTGTATACATGGTAGCACTGTCTACACCTTCAACACTATGACATCTAATCCAGGTCTTCCATATTGATGGTAATCACATGTAACTTGAAGCCTACTGTATACATGGCACCAGTGTCTACACCTTCAACACCATGACATCTAAACCAGGTCTTCTATATTGATGGTAATCACAAGTAACTTGAAGCCTACTGTATACATGGCACCACTGTCTACACCTTCAACACTATGACATCTAATCCAGGTCTTCCATATTGATGGTAATCACATGTAACGTGATGAAGCCTACTGTATACATGGCACCAGTGTCTACACCTTCAACACCATGACATCTAAACCAGGTCTTCCATATTGATGGTAATCACATGTAACGTGAAGCCTACTGTATACATGGCAGCACTGTCTACTCCTTCAACACAATGACATCTAAACCAGGTTTTCCATATTGATGGTAGTCACATGTAACGTGGTGAAGCCTACTGTATACATGGCACCACTGTCTACACCTTCAACACCATGACATCTAAACCAGGTCTTCCATATTGATGGTAATCACATGTAACGTGAAGCCTACTGTATACATGGCACCAGTGTCTACATCTTCAACACAATGACATCTAAACCAGGTCTTCCATATTGATGGTAATCACATGTAACGTGATGAAGCCTACTGTATACATGACACCACTGTCTACACCTTCAAGACTATGACATCTAAACCAGGTCTTCCATATTGATGGTAATCACATGTAACGTGGTGAAGCCTACTGTATACATGGCACCACTGTCTACACCTTCAACACCATGACATCTAATCCAGGTCTTCCATATTGATGGTAATCACATGTAACGTGATGAAGCCTACTGTATACATGGCACCAGTGTCTACACCTTCAACACCATGACATCTAATCCAGGTCTTCCATATTGATGGTAATCACATGTAACATGAAGCCTACTGTATACATGGCACCAGTGTCTACACCTTCAACACCATGACATCTAATCCAGGTCTTCAATATTGATGGTAATAACATGTAACGTGATGAAGCCTACTGTATACATGGCACCAGTGTCTACACCTTCAACACCATGACATCTAATCCAGGTC